GCACGTAAGATTTAACCTCGTAATTCCTCAACAAAAGCAGCCAGTGCGCTGGAATTCTGTGAGCTTGGTGTATAGTTATGTTTGGAAAAGTGTAAAAAAAACTTCCTGTTTCCCCTATATTTCGCGTACGACAGGCGGAATTTGGGACGAGAATTTAAAAAATCGCAACCAAAACAGCTAAAGCGCTTGTGTGCATGGTCCACTACCACGCTTGAGTTACTGTATGCGAAAACAACTTTCACGTCTCCCATCTCATGTATGAAGCAACTTTGTGCTAACAATTTTTGTACGACCCTTTAATATTTTGAAAGCAAAAATAAGGATAATAATTAATGCGAATTTCTACTCGCTTAGCTAGAAGTATCTACTCGAAAAAATAGTGTCACTTAGCAACAAGTATCTGTGGGAAAAACTGTGCAAAAAAATGCATGACCGTACCGGCAAACCCAGTGCACACCACTGTTGATTAGTTTTTCGGAAATGCTATCCCGATTTTTGCAGTCAGTCATTTTCGTTCTTTTATTTGGCCTGGCAAAAGACTGAACTCGTTCTACCAGCAATGCATGGGTGACTACAGTTAGGACAAAATTTTCAGGAAAAGGTTGTAACTGGACTTGCTGCTTGGAGAGGTATAGTTAGTTTTCAAGATGTTAGCCAAACACTAGCTAGTTTTAGATGTATTTTTTTAGCATTTTTTCCATAACTTGTTTTTTAATTTACCAAAAATACCGGGATATGATTTTTTTGCGAACTGTATGATTTTTTTATCGTGCATTGTGGCATTTAATTTTTTAATGTTCTTTTACGATTTCTCAGTTAAACATTTTTTACGGTTTTTTTCCAGTTTTTTTGCTAAAAACTAACAAAAAAATGCATGGTGTCTGGTATTAATAAACGAAAAAGTCAAATGTAAAACAAAAATGATCTCAGAACGAAATTGCGTACAATCTGCTACAAACGTGTTATGCTCATTTTTACCATCTCACATTTCAAAACAGCGAACAGCTATCCGATCGCCAGTGAGATCCAGGACACAGACCTGAATGTTTAAAGAATTTTTTACCAAAGTACATTTGCCGATGAGCCATTGAAAAACAAAGTGAACAGAGGCGAAACCTGCTGTGTCTGTTCCACACTCGGCATACTGCTTGTTTTTCTTAAGCTTTCTTTATGCTCATATCGCGGCGATACATCTAGAATAAATCTTTGCCAGGCGTAAATTTGATAGCAGTGAAACTGAAAATCGGCAGTGCTCTGGCCGTAAGTCAAAAACCGTTCCGCATTCAACTCTACGACAGGAGGAGGTACTCTGAAGTACCTCAAATGAAACTGGTGAGGCTTCTGTTGCCTCATTCTTTCTAAGGTTTCTTAAAGCATGAATGAACGAATCGTGGAAGGATCGACTCCCTCTCGCCCCTCCCCCACCTTCACCTATGCATTTGAAAGCCATTGGTAATCTTGATGATTTCAAACGAGTGATGTGTATGGGAAATCTGCATACTAAAAAAAATAATTGGCCAACGCACGGGGTGTCCGTGCGAAGATGCGTTTTTTCGCATAGTTCCCCACAATTTTTGTCGCTACCGGCATCGGTTTTTTCGGCAAATCTTTCTAGCTAAACAAACTAAGACTGCCTGTCAAAACTGGCAGGAAACACCCCCTTAAAATTTCAGCTTTTTAGCTTTCCTGGCTCCTGAGTTAGCAACTTACTGGAAAAAATTTTTCATGAGCTCGCACTCAGGTACCACGCACACCCGATGTCTGGGTTTGAGCTCGTTGAAACTTACTTGGACGAGGAACATCTTCCTAAAACTACAG